TGTACTGGACTCAGTCTCGTGGAGGCCTTGGAAGCTCTGGAGGGAGTAATTCAGTTTTCCTTCAGTGTTCACTGGTTTCCCATTTGAACATATGTCCCATGCATGATATACCTGACTTGGATACTGAGCAAACTTTTGTTCCCAAGTTCTGTCTTTGTGTTCCTAAGTAGATACTTGCCTAGACAAAGGTCTAACAAAATTTCTAAATGGGACTAGAATCAAGAGATTTACTTCTTTCAAAATCTTTTTAATTTTTTTTTGTCTATAAACTGTATAAATAAGGAACGCACAGCATGCTGTTTGAGTAGAACAAAATCCCCACTAGCATCCTTCCTGAGACACCATCTCTTTACCTTTCTATTTCCTGGTCTCCTTTCTTTGATAGCTTCTCTCTTACAAGATCATCCCCAGAGTGAAAAGGTAACTTAGTATCCAAAAATTGTTGGAGTTCCTGAAAGGAGAGAACGGTCATGTTACTCAACGATTATCTCATGACCCTCATCAGTCATCTGCCTTTTCAAACTCATCCTTGGAACCTCTGTGGGAACCAAAACTTGGTGAAAAATAAAATTCACCATGAAGACTTCGACTCCACTCAACACAGCCTAGGATGCTGCATAAAATATTTGGACATAGGAGAGAATGTCAAGAGCTTGGATGTGATGTTATTATAGTTTTACAGAAAAGCTTGGGAAAATGAAAAAGAGGAAAAAGAAAACAAAAGATGAAGAGGGTAATTAAAAAACCTGTCTAACAAGTGGAAAGAGTGAATTAATGTTCATTGTCCTGTTTAATGACTCTTCATCATCTATAGTGTAGAGCCCAAATTCCTTAAGCTAGGTAATAAGGCACCTGATGCTTTATTCTTATCTAGATCTACAACTTCGCCTTGTATTTAATATCAAGCCATCATCACGCATACATCACCCAGAAATACTTACAGCTGCCTATATATGCATTTGAGTTGCAAGAGTCTATGTTGAGAGAGAGACACAGACAGAGAAAGACACAGAGAGGGAGACAGAGACAGAATTTTAACCTCAAATATCCTTTCACCTTCATCTGTCACCTACTGGTTTTTCACAATTTTTTAAGTCACCAGCTGCTGAACTATCTCTAACCTGTCAAAGACACTTTGCTGTTCTCTTCTCAGTGTTTCTAAAGCTTGTTTCATGTGTTCTTATCAAAATACTCTACATGTTACATCCAAATTACTTTTCCTGTCATCCTAATTGACTTGTGAATTTCAAAACTATGCCTTATTCCACTTTGTATCCTCAAAACATAACCCAATATTTAAATAAATGAAATATAAGTGCTTAATAAATAAGTAGAATAGTCCATGAGTGAATTAATAATGATCCCAATTAGTTCATTTTATAGAAGACTGGTTCCCTTGCACAATACTATGTGTCTCCTAAGTCAAAACACTTTCCGTGTTCCCCGACTCTTCTGTATGTTCAATATATTTTGTTTCATTTCTTTCTAAGACTAAGACTGTGTCCTCCCTGTGAAAAATAAAAACTTGTCCTAAAGCCCTCCCTTCTTCTTGCTCTGGTTTCAGTCTTTATGCTTATTACGTTTTCCACCATCCAATTGCTCTTTCTGTCATTTGACCACATTTCTTATCTTCCACTACTGTTAACTAGGGGTAAACAGAACACTAGCTCATTGGAAAACTCAATAATTTTGAAATTTAACATACAAATAAAAGGCTGGAGTGTCACTCCTCTTTTCAACAGGAAATCAAAGGAAACTAAAGTTTAAAATTCCTTCAAATCAGAGTTCTGGTGCCCAGTGGCATGCAGGTGTCCTCACTCTCAAACACTTCATAGAAATATCCATGAAGTTTTCCTGATGAAATTTGCCAAAATTATCTCACCTGTTATGATGCTCTAGGGTTCGTCTTCCATTTGGACCAGCATAAGAAAATCCTCTACATTACTCCACAGAACAATATCACCGGTGCATTTTATCCATGGACACTTTAGAAATTGCCTCAATAGCATCATCAATGGTCTTACTTTTTTACATTAGCTGTGGCCTCAATGCCTTGGTTGGTAATTGAGATATTCACTTCCATGGGGAGCAAATTACCATCCTGTGCACAATACTTGTCCATCATGTCTCCAATTAGTAAAATCATGGTAATACAATATGAGGATTAGTTGGCCAAAGAGGAGGCCCTATCTAACACACTATGGGAATTATTTGGCTTCCTCTTAGAAATTCTCTGGGGACTCATTAGAGAGATGGAAACTTTCTGGGCATCGTTTGTGAAAAAAGACATCAATGGCAAATACTTTCTTCTGGTTTCCCTACCTG